AAGGAGAGAAGCAACTTAGAAGTGAGGAGAAATTTCCTAACAGTTAGAACCATTAATTAGTGGAACAACTTGCCTCCAGAGGTTGTGAATGTTCCAACACTGGAAGTTTTTAAAATGTTGGCTAACCATTTGTCTGAAGTGGTGTAGGGTTTCCTGCCTAAGCAGGGGGTTGGACTAGAAGACCCCCAAGGTCCCTTCCAACTCTGTTATTCTATTCTATTCTAAATGCACCTTCCTCTTTAATGATTCTTAAACCTGCAGTGATGTTCCATCAAATACCAAAGATGCTAGGACCTTTTCTAATTTTCTGAGCTCACCTGAGTCCTTGCTATTAAGCATCTCAAAACTGTCCCTGCTTCCTTATACCGGGATACCAATGTCCTGCAGGGGATTGTCAAATAATCAGGAGCCTTTGAAAGAAGTGTCAGAGCCCTGTGATACAAGCTCCGCCCCTTCTAAAAGGGCAGAACTTGCAGCCTGGTGCCACACAACACTCTTTTTATTCTCCTGACCAGGGATCTCCAACCTTGGCAACTTTAAGACTTGTGGACTTCAACTCCCAGAATTCCTCAGCCAGCAAACCTTAAAGTTGCCAAGGTTGGAGACCCTGCTCCTGACCATAACAGCAAGAGCCTGTGGATGCTATTGAGTCTAATGTAGTGATTGAGGTGGATCAAAGCTGGGGGAACTCTCAGCTCGTTGGTAACTTTGGACCAGTCGGTCACTCTTAGCCCATTCTACCTCACAGAGTTGCGTCAGGATAATACGAGATCCTCAGATAAGCACTGTGAGTTCAAATAAATGAATAAATAACAAAACCGCGACTCTTTATATGTTTGAAAAGTTTCCTTGCTCCCCTCTTCTGCTGCAGGCACGCCTTGGACATCCGAGAGCACTACGAACGTAAACTGGAACGGGCCAACAACCTTTATATGGAGCTCAATTCCCTCATGCTACAGTTGGAGCTGAAGGAGAAAGAGCTGCTTCGGTAAGATGGCAGAAGGTCCTGGATGGCTGCTAAACTTTGGAGATGTATTCTCCAAAGGGGAAAGGTTCAGTAATGAGAGCTTCAGCCTACCAGCTCTCTCTCTCAACCCTCCCCTCCACCCCTGTAAAGGAAAGGTGGCGCAGTGGTTAGGGTGCAGTACTGCAGGCCACTTCAGCTGACTGCTATCTGCAGTTCAGCGGTTCTAATCTCACCGGCTCAANAAGGGTCTGACAGCTCCCTATAAAAGGGCTGCTGTCAGACTCAACCATCGCTGGATTGTACATACTTGTTCTGTTACTATAAGGAGCTGTTTTTGCCTTTAGCCTGAGTGTGCCTTTCCATTACCCGATCTAACAGTATAGACCTCTTTTCATGTTAGTCTGTAAAGTAGTTTACAATGCAGTTATATAAACAATAACATAAAAGCAAACTGAATTAATCTTACCTCTGAAATTTTAAAACAACTTTTCACAATAAGTTAGTTAGGAAGATGAGATAACCAACAAATGCATCTTTTGCTGAGAGCCGAACAGCCCCACTTTTTATTATTCTCATTATGGAACCTATACCATGCAGTGGGGGGTACCATAATCTACAAGAGTAGCACCATTGTAAACAGTTTTCTGTTCTCTAGTCCTGGAGCCAGATGAATTCAGGGAATGAGTTTATGGAGCTCTCATTTTCTTCCCCAGGCTGAATGGCGAGAAGAAGTGAAGCTCCATTTCGAAAAGATCAAATCGGAGGGGACATGTCTACACCGTCTGGAAGAGGAGTTGATTCACCGGAGGCGAGAAGAGCTCAGGTAAGGCAGGTGTGGAAACCATTAAAACATAGATTCGATACCCATATATGTATTTATAAATAAAAGGTCTCATCTGAACTGAGTTACACCTCTAGAGGCAATATGGACATGTTCTTTTCCTTGTGTGATACTAAAAATGTGGTTTGTCACTCTTTCAAGATGTGTTTTTCAACCTCCCACTCTAGACTTGACACTTTCATGCAGAGCCAGGAATGGCTGACTGCTGCCACCTGTCATGATAAGTTTATACATAATGACGTATATTCCTTGCATCTGCTGGCATGCTGAAAATACCAACATTTGGGGGGAGGGGGTCCCCCATCAGTGAAGCAATTTTGTATTCCCCAGAATTGAAGCAAAAATCTTGACAATTCCTCCCCTGTCTTTTATTTCACTACCGCTCCTTTTATTAAAACTAATGATTGTTATATGTAAATGGAACTGGGCATAATCTTGAGGGTAGGTTAATTGCATTTGCATTTCATTTGAAACTTTATTTTTCATTTCCCAAACCTGTATGCGAATTGGAATGCAACTGTTGACATTTACATTTTATGGAACATATTTATTTTATTTACATTTAGTTTGTCAGTCATGTACAAGACAACAGGAATAAGAATAAACATGAATAAGAACACAGGAAATGGGTACAAATAAAAAGAAACATTAGGACAGGGATGGTAGGCATGCTGGTGCGCTTATGCTCGCCCCTACTTACCTCTTAGGAATGGGGTGAGGTCAACAGTAGACAGTTTAAGGTTAAAGTTATGGGGGTTTGAGGATGTAACAACAGATGCATTCCAGGTATTGACCACTCTGTTGCTGAAGTCATATTTTGTGCAATCAAGTTTGGCTTTGTATCTATTGTGTGCTCATGTATTATTGCGGTTGAGGCTGAGGTAGGACATTCGTAGGAGATAATTTTGTGAACTACTCTTAGGTCAGACTATAGGTGGCGTAGTTCTAGGTTGTCCAAGCCCAAAATTTCAAGCCTTCTCATGAAATACCTCTGGACTTGCTCAATTGTGTTAATGTCCGATATGCAGTGCGGATTCCAGACAGAGTTTCAAGATGAATAAATCATAAGAAAAAATGTATATAATGAAGAAAATGCACACAAAAGTAGATATAGTGAAAAATGTATAAAACTGCATTTGTCAAATATGCTTGCAAAAAGGAAGCTTTAAAAAAAAATTTCTTGTGTTGTTGTTTTAAGGACAGAATGATGGAAGATATAGAACAGAATAAACTTCAGCGTTGGAAAACTGGGACATAAACTAGATCTGACTTCATAAAAATGTACCTACTCCTTCTAAATGTCTAGTTTGATGAAAAGAAGGACTAGGGGAGACATGATAGCAGTGTTCCAATATCTCAGGGGTTGCCACAAAGAAGAGGGAGTCAAACTATT